GGGAAGGGAGGAGGGGAATTTCAAGGGATTTGATTTGCTAAAAATCTACTCACCTCAATTTTCTTCAATCCGGATCTCCACGAAAATAACTTGGCGAAAATTTAGAACTCTCGAAGACAAAATAGTTTGGTGAAAAATCTAGAACTCACAAAGAGATCTATCTTCTCCGACGAACTCACTAAGAGATCGAAGAGGGTTGAACTCACAAAGAGAACATAAGAGGCAAATTTTCATTCATCAAAAACTAACTATTACATAAGAAAAGGGCCATATATAGGCCTCCAAATGACAAAGAAAATAAAAGACTAAAATGCCCCTTGGGCTACAATAGCGACCAAATACCCATAAGGGCAAAAGCAGAAAAAACTGAAAATAACATAAACTACTACATGAAATCACTCAAAATAAAACTCATGATCGTAGCAGTCGATCTCCGGCGTCTCCTGATGGTACACATGTCAAAAAATGCTGACGATGTCCTCATCATTCTCCACAGGTGGGAGAAAACTCGACCCCGTCGAGTAACCATCTATAGAGCTCTCGTACCACTCTAGTAAGTCGGGGTCCACTCGCTGCAGCTCGTCACGATCAACCCATGTGTTCTCCGTTTCCGGTTTCCCTGCTCATTGAACTAGATACATTTGTTGACCATCATCTCTAGTGGAAATCGCTAAGTATTATATCAATCTTCTCTGTATTGGGTAAATTAGGCAATTTTGGGGTGGAGTTAGGCTTGGGATCTCACCAGGTGGGTTCACACAAGGCTCATTATTTCGTGGAATAGGAGGGTTACACTCTGGACTTCCGAAGGTTACAAGATCTTCGATGTTAACATATGATTAATGTTAAAACCTTCAGGAAGGTCTGACACATAAGCATTACTATTTAAAATTTTCTGCTGTTATTTGAACGGTCCAACGCTTCTAGCATATAACTTTATAACGGTCCCTTGTGGGACTGCTCCGAATGAATCCGAACCAATACAAAATCTCTAATATCAAATTCTTTGAACCGTCTCTTGAGATTGGCAGTAAGTTTATAAATGGCATTGCTTTGGTTATTCTTTTTATTAATATCCTGCTGCAGTTCTTGAAGATGAGATGCAAATGTGGATGCAAGAGACTCGGTGTGCATGATGAATGACAAGAATCACGAGCTTACAAAAAAAAAACATCACAACTTAGAAGGACAACAGACTACAACACACACACAACATACTAACTCACACAAACACATTGCTAGAACAGGTGGACGAGTCACAAAGAGGGGTCTAAAGTGTTAGATGATTAAAAGCGGGATCTCGTTGAGTTAGAGAAACAAATTTGATTAGGATAACAAAATATTCTAGGTGGCTTAACAAGGATTTGATCATGTTTGCAATGTTTAGATGATCTTACTGGTATGAACCGAGTAATGATATTTGGGTAGCAATGTCTTGGACCAATTTGAAGGTCTTCTCTTATCCGACTGACAAGGGAGCAGCATAGGTCAGTATTTTTGGATCAGATTGACCTACAAATTGGCGCTACAATGACCTCTCAAAGTCCTCATTATGAATTTTAATCAGGGCCTATGGACTTTAATGAGACTGGCTAGCTGGCGTGCGAATCAATGTGTTACACTCCCCTCCTTAATCTAAAAACCTTATAAATATACATTTTTGAACGGCATTGGACACCTTACACGCACATCTCTTTCGTCCTCCCACCTCTTTGAATCTTTTTCCTTCTTCAATAGTTGCAAACTAATGATAGAGGCACAAGGTATTAGTGAATTCAGTGCAAAAGTTTATGGTTAGTGAAGAAAAAGCTTGAGGACTCAAAGATGGGAATGGTGGTGTTGATGACCTCTATGCCTTCCTCAAATTTTGGAGCGGTGTAGGCGGAAGGTCCTATGAAGCTAACATTGGAATCAATGAGGATTGATGCCCTAGTGGCCAATATGAACTCCTCTGGATTCTTGATGAAGCATCTGACAGAGATTCTAGGTGAATTATTGGAAGTCTCCTTGTTGTTAGCCTCTACCCTTTCGAGTTCGAGCGTTGCAATGGCAATGGTATCTTCGTTGGGATTGGTTGATGATGAGAACCAAAAGACAATCTGGTTATTGGAAATGAACACTCCCCCAACACTAGGAATGAGAATGAATGAGGAAGTCACTTCTCTGGATCAATGTTTAAAATTGCATAATCGGGTATTGAGGCATTTTTCGTTCGTGAGGCGAGGCATAAGCCTCAAGGCGTTTTGAGGCGTAAGCTTCAAAATCAAAAAATTGTGTAAACATAAAATGATAAATTTTGTATATATTAATGAATAAATAATATATAAAACAAAAAAATGCACAAGATATGAAGTGAAATAAAAATATCCCAATAATAAGACGACATGAAATATAGTTCTACTCAAACTCCATCTTTTCCAAATCACAGTATTCTTTTCATTAATATATAATTCAAAAAATAAATAGCAATGACATATCACATAAGAACTCATAAGTCATCAGCACTGTCATCACTAAGGGGTTCTTCATTTGAATCATCATTATGATGAATTGCTCTCCCCCCCTTCCTCCCAATTAGGTCCTTCTTCCTTAATATCAGTTATCTTCCTATTCTCTAAATATTTTTGAATAATCTCAAAATAAATAATAGTGTAATACATTAATAAAAGTCTAAGAAAACTATATTATTTATATACCTTTTTTGATTTGTTCTTGAGTTGTGGTGGATGTAGATGCTTTAAGACCATCAAAGAAATCAACATTTAAATCTTCATATTGTAATTCAGACGGCATCACTTTAACTTCACAATCTACAAATCACTCATTATCAAATGTCACATCCTCGCAAAACAAAGGATCTTCATCATCCATTAATCCTTTTTTTTCTCAAATTCCTATCTC